TCAAAATGTTTTCTGTGTGGACTGTGATGTTTTTGTTCATGACTCTCTGCACTGTTGCCCTGGCTGTATTCATAAGATTCCAACTCCTTCAGGTATTTGATCCTAGCTTCAAATACACACGGAATGTGTTAAAAAGAAATTTGCAACTGTAAATGAAATGGCTCCTTTGAAGAAACTTCAATTAAAACATGAACAGTTCAAGAGGAAAATAGGACTTAAGAAACTTTTGACTAAGAAAATACAGTATTTTACTAGTTTTTAAAATTTGTATCCTGTTGCATAAAGTTCTGGAATTCAGTAGTATTTCATTCAGTTAATTTTGTTTTTATTACTTTGAGTTGTATTGTTTCCAAAGTCATTAAACCTTTTTGTATTTAAGTTACTTATAATGATTAAGATGATGTGATAAATTGTTTTGTAATTAAAGTAAACACAGAATCTTTATGTTTTTTGATTCACTTTTAGTAAAAATGAAAATTGGGTATAAGTATAAATGAAAATAGTTATGAAATTAATATATATAAAATTATATATGATGCTATATCCACTCAAGAGGTCTTTTTTGGCTTAACTAAACCATCAGAATGTAATTATAAAATGAATGTGTCCGAAGTTATTTGTGACTATAACCAACACAGAAGTCTTTTTAGGTTTAAATATTTAAACACACAAGACTACCACAACCGCAGGTAGCACCAGCTTATTCAAAGGGATGTTAAACAGGGCAGCCGGCAGCACTTCTGAGCTGGTCAGCCTGTACAGTTTAAGTGTATGGACAATGAGATCCTCCATAGGCTTCAATGAGAGCTAAGTTAAATCTCTTGCAACAATTTCATAAGTATGCCTTCTAGTATATTCACAAGGGACATGTCAGTTCAGGAGTCACTATGCCTAGAAAAGCCCAAAGCAGAAAGTTACTTATAGTGCATCCAGTCCAGATACAGTGTTCTAATCAGGGGTCATTATTACCCAGAAATAATAGGTAAAAACTTAATTGCCTAGAAACATAGTTGAAAAGTTATTAGCAATATATTAGAAAAAACTTACTATCATAAACTCCTTTTTGGGGCTACTTGATCTTTACAGTTTTGATTTCATTTGCATATTTGATAAGGCTAATAACTATTTTACTTGTGCTTAAGGAGGAATGCTTTTCTCAAAATTAATAGAGAAAATCCTGTTTTGTTTAAGATTTTACAAATAGAAATAATGATCTAAACCTGTTTTAGCTTTTAACTTCCCCTTGAAATTCCACAGTATAGTACAGTAATATAGTAGAAGGAAACTAACATTGGAAATCTTTCTGAATAGTATATCTTTTTGAGTTCTGCTGCTTGACTAAATAGAAAACGCAATACTTAAAATTCATATTCTTTTTATTTGACCTGACCATCTTTGTCTTCTAATTAAAACATTTAGTCCATTTATATTTAATGTGCCTACTATATAATTGAGTTTAAAGCCTGAGAAATTATTAGGTTAAAATGTATAAGTCCTGTTATTTAAGGGCCAAGTGTAACCCTGACCCTTCACTTTCCCTCTATAGCTGAGTATGTGTCATAATAAAAACACTAATGTGTCAAAACAGTGAGAGGAAACAGACTTTCTGCTTCTTACAATGGCGGCAGGAAAGAAGAACTGTAAAGATTTTGTAAGATTTCTCAATACTTCTAGCTTCCCAAATTGGTGGTCATCTCCCATGTTCAGCTGTCAGTATCTCTGCAATAATTGGCAAACAACATAAAACAATTTTGTGAGTGGTGGCTTCCAACCCTCAGAAAGAGAGGTAGGGTACCGGGTACCCATGGCTTTTAGTAAGTAGTAGGATTTAGGGGAAAAGGAAAGATGTTTGAGTCTCTGGGAGCTATAGTAAGGGCATAAGAGACTGTCACACTTCTGAGAGGTAGTCTTAAGTCTACTGATAACCTTTCTGGGTCCCATTCTATAAGGAGGTTTGTTATTTCTTGGCATGTTCTCTGATTCTGTTCTTGGGAGACATTTTATAAGGTGGACTGGGGACCATGAAAGTGTTTTTTTTTTACCCATTCCCACTATATAGATGTGATACTTGGATCTTTTTCCAATAAAGGCTATGCAGTTTTCAGAATTACTAGAAGTAAAAAGGAAGGTCTTTCAATTGTAAAAAGATATTCTACTATAAATACCATATGTAATGATCAAATGTTAGAATTCCTACCAAAATCTACAATAAGGTAGGTTATTATTACTCCTATTAAGCAGCATCATATTAAAGACAATGTAACAAGATAAAGTGATTGTAAAATACAAAGCTGTCCGATTATTGAGGTAATATTGCTACCTTTTTACAAATTTCAAGACTCCAACTATGAGCCTTGCTAACCCAGCTCTTTACTAAACTAAATGTGGGGAGAAAAAGAGCTTTTTGGAGTTGCCTTTCTTTTAAGATCTTACTTTTATGGCAAATTAACATGCCAATTTAAAATGCAGACCCTCTAGTCATATTGATTAATCTGAACCCCTACATGCCTATGTTTCCTCCTCCGCAAAATGGAGATAATATCAATGCCTACTTTGTTTGGACTGTTAAAGAGCTTAGAACTATGCTGACAGATAGCAGGCTCTAAATAAAGTTAAGTTCTCATTACTGGTACTAATAATACAAAATTATTAAGATGACTTTTAAAAATGTAAGCACAGAAAAATTAAGAAAGCAAGTGGGGCCCATTTGCACAAAAAATGTGTTTTTTTTCCTTTTTAAAGACTTTTTAAAACTAATATAGTAGTTTATTTTTACGTCATTTTGTGCCTTTTTCCATCTCAGTTGTAATCCCCGTGGGCTTCCTATCCCTAAATCACCAACGTGTCATCAACATAGTCCAGTGTTCTTCCTTCCCCCGCTATTTTTGATCCCACTCCCCATTCCACCCCCATAAAATGTAAAGACTTATTTTTATTTATTTAAGCATATAAGAGCTGGAGTGTAGTCCAGAGATGTGGAGAGAGGGCTGGTGGTGAAACGGTTCACCAAACACAGAGTAGAGAGCAGAACAGGCAGACTCATTGAAATACATTGCTGAAGGGAACAGCAGGCAAGACAGGAGAGGTCTGCTGCACCATGTAGGTCACCTCGGCTGGGAATTGAACTCGTGCTGCAGTGGCTGCCAATTGCTTCATAGTGCTGAGACTTAAATCATGCACCATTAGGGAGGCTCCTGCACAAAAAATGTTTTAACAAACTTTGGGAAGGTGAAAATTCAAATGAAATTTTAGGACATTTGCCTGAATAGACTCAGAAGTAGCAGGGAACTCAAAATGCCAAAAATGAAGGATGGGACAAGAATGACTGGATGGGCTAAAACTCCAGGGACTTATTTAAACTGAGAGTGGGATAGTTGACGCTCTCTTCCCCATCATCAAAATTTAATAAATAGGTGCTAACCCTGAGGCACAAAGAGGATTCTTATCTTTAAAAAAATAGAATCAATATTTTCAGTTAACTTTGAGGGGCTTGTATGAATACTAACATCCCTAAACAAAAAATCCTTTGAGGACTGGCCATTTCACCCCCAAGGAACATCGTCAGTCAGCTTTTAGCTAAAGCTGTGTCTTGATAGGTTACTTGAAATAGCTTTTTTTTGGAGGTATTTCTCTGAAATTCAGAGCTCCTTAGGGTAAATCTTGGCTCCCCAATATGTTCTGCATAAATTAAAGGGCTTAGGTTCAAGTCATACTCATTTGGCTTTAAATTACCATAACTTTTACCAAACAGCTTTTAAGTTGCCTAATTCTTAAACATGAATTTAAAATTGAGGGTTAGTATAATTGCAGAAACTGGAAACTCAGAAAACAAAGACCAAGGTAAATAGCAATAGCCCTGGAGAAAACAATTCAGGGAATAGATAAAATTGGATAATAGTGTTGATAAAGGTAATTTTTATATGGGGACCCACAAAGGACACTGGCCAGGCTGCTGGCTCACTCACAGTCTAAACCTAAGTCAGCCTGCATTTATGGAAAACACATGTGCAAGGAAACCTAACAAAACAGCAATCACAAACTGTCAACTTAGTTTACTAGTTCACCCAACCCTAGAAAACATGGTGGGCTAGTCTTAAACACAAATTCCCAACCTCTTAGCCAACCACATCCTATTTCTGTGTTGCCTTCTCTGAAGGTCTCTAAAACCTGCTTTTGCATATCTAGAGAAGTGTTTCACCGTTCATGCATGAGGTCCTGTATTTTCCTTAATTGAATAATGACATCAGACTCGTCACTGGTCTGTTTTAATTTTATCACGTAACAGTATCATAGGATTCAAAAAGATTATATTAGTTAAAAAAAATAGATATCAAAATTGAGGAATAGAGCAAGAAATAACTGTGGGAAGTTGAAAGGATAATTGCTGGTTGAGAATTGCTATTGGAGAGTTGTAAGATAAGGGAGAGTCAATCTCCCAGAAAATGAGCAAAAATATTGAGAAAGAATAGATGTGGGGGGAAATAATAGAAATTTAGTTGATTACTTGAGTTCTTATCTCAGTGGGAATGCCTATACAAGTGAAAAGAGAATAGTAGATAATAAGAAATTAATAAAAATCATAGAAGATAATTTTCCTGCACTGATAGGAAGCTGAGTACACTAAAGTGAGTTTCTAGTAAAACAAATGTAGACAGACCCACACCAGCATTTTGAAATGTAACACCAAGGATGAAAGAGAAAATCCAAGAAGCTACCAGAAAGATAGAAACTGCAAGTATCAAAGAAATAAACTTTCACTAGCCTCCATACCATTAACCACTCTTAAACTATTTAGAAGAAAATATTCTCTGTTGTGGGGCTCAAAATGTATGTCATTCCTTTTGGGTGTTGACCGAGTCTTTGATGCAATACTCTATGGCATTTACTGGTAATTTCTCTAACTGTGCAATTTGTTTTGAATTTCACTTCCTCAAATAATTTCTCATTGCTCTCTATTAAAGGACAAACACAGAGCATTTGTAGTTAGGCCACACATTCTCCTTCCATTTGACCGAGTCTCTGGGTAAACCTCAAGGTAAGTTACCATCTTTGGCAAAGGGCCTTTCTTCCACACCTAAGCATGTAGCACTCTTATTGCTTTCTTGTTTCTCTCTTTGGAGGTAAAAGGCACTGGAATTATGCAGATTTGGGTTTAAATCCTAGCTGCATGGCATAATTGCCTCACTGGTAACTCTTACTGCTTGGAGTCAAACAGCAGGAACCAGGAGAGGGCCTTAGACAGCATATGTCCTCCCCAGAAAAGCCTCGGGATCAGCAGAACTGACCGGTTAATGTTTTAATACAGAATTGATCCCAGCTGACCCGTTGCTACTCAGGACTCCCTGGAGCCCTGGTACTGGCTGTTGCCAAGCTAGAATGAAATGTACCAAATAGTGACTAGTATAGTCATTTGCTGGGGTCTGAGACAAACCACAGAACATCTTGTGCCAGATTACTTTGGGCTTTGACCTTGTGACAACAGTGTGGTTTCTTTCTCTAAGACTGAGACCAAGTCATCTTGCAAAGAGCCAGGTGAAGCTGAAGTCCATCCTGTGTAACTGAAATAGGCCCCTGGAAACTTGAGTCTGGAATGCTGAGAGCTTTTTAATGTTTGCCTGGAGTTTTGTTTTCCTTTTTGTATCTTACTCTTTACCATTACTAAAATCTTGTGTTAGAATACTATGTATAGTCTTGGTTCTCTTCAATTATATAAGCCTGTATAATTGTTGAAGCTGCCACTTTGAATAGAATAATTGAAACTGTGAGAATATGACCCACCTGATAAAGACACTGCCAGAAGAAGGCATCAAGAAAAACAAGCTCTTCAGTCAGAAGACTAATCTTTGTGGACTGAGAGAGTTTTCCTGAGGAACTGCTGCTGACTGAATTATATTTAACACAATAGCAACAAAGGAACTGTTTTCCTTGCGTTAGGTATTACCCAAGAAGGGCATACTTGGCCTAATAAAGAATTCATTGTACTGCAACTTTTGCAGAAATGTGGGTAGCAGGGCAAATTCCAAAACAGCTGAGGTGGGGTGAGCACTTAAACTACCCTGTGAATCAGAGCTGCCCAACTCTGCCTATACGCATTACGTGAACTACTTTTAAGATAGGCATATGTTCGGCTTTGTCTGAGACTGAGGTGTCCGCTATTTATGCCCCTGATTTAAAAGTGACTCTTTTTAAGTGTGCTGTGACAAAAGGGTCTCTAGCTGCTTGGACTCCATGTGTGACCAACTATGAGAGTGGAGGATGGAGTCAGAGGTAGAGGCAGCTACGAGCATATTCCTCAGCTAAATTATAAAAAGAAAGTCTGTATTATCCGAGCAAAGAAACAATATAATAATAAAGAGAAAAAAAAAAATCTCAGGACCAAACCAGTAAATCAAGCAGAAACGTTCACCAACCTTTTCCTTCCCTTTTCAGAAAATGGCAGCCCAGGAGTCCTCTGATGAGAGGATTTCCCAGTTTGATGATGCCACGATCACGGAGATGTCTGTTCTACTAGGCCCAAGCGTGTTTCACTATGTGAAGGAGATTGAGGAGGAACAACATAAAGAGCGTATGAAAATGAAGAAAGGCTTTAACTCACAAATGCGGAGTGAAGCAAAAAGATTAAAGACCTTTGTCACCTATGAATCGTATAGTTCCTGGACACCAAGGGAGATGGCAGCAGCTGGGTTTTACTTCACTGGCATAAAATCTGGAGTTCAGTGTTTCTGCTGTAGCTTAGTCCTCTTTAACACTAGCCTCCAGAAATGCCCCTTGGAGGAACACAAGAAGTTTCGTCCCAGTTGTGAGTTCCTTTTGGGCAAAGATGTTGGTAACATTGCCAAGTATGATATCAGAGTAAGGGATCCAGAGGACATGCTGAGAGGAGACAAAGTAAGGTACCAGGAAGAGAGGGCCAGGCTGGAATCCTTTAAGAACTGGCCATTTTATGCCCAGGCGATACCCCCAAGAGCGCTCTCAACTGCTGGCTTTGTCTTCACAGGTAACTGAAACCATTTTCAAAGTTTTCAACTGTAGGTTTCACATGTCCATGGCAGTACTTTATGACTTGTTCTTTGGGACATGTGGCATTAGGTATAAGGTCTATTCTATATAATAATTCAATTTAATTCTATGTCAGCTTTATTTTGTCACATTATATATATATATATTTGTACTGTGCTGGGGGATATTAATTATGATTTAAAAAAACAATACAATAGTTTATTTTTACCTCATTTTGTGCCTTTTTCTATTTCAGTTGTTTGTCACATTTATTTCATGTGCTACATTTGCTAACTATATGTAAAACAAGACAGTTCCTTTTACTTAAATTTGGACCTAATGGGCCTCCCTGGTGGTGCAAGGGGTTAATATCAGCACTATGACACTATTGCCAGCCACTGTGGCATGAGTTCAATCCCCAGCCATGGAGCTAAGTCACTACTGTCCCCTCAGCAGTGTATTTCAGTCAGTTTACCTGTTCCGTTCCCTACCGTCTCTGGTGAATATTCTCACCCTCTCACACTTCTGGCCTATATCTCAGTTCTTATATGCATGAATAACTAGGATAAATAAATAAACTTGAAACTTAGATAATACTGGCTGCATCAAGGCTCTGAATGTAAATCATGAGGTTCGCCTGACCCAGTCTCCTCCTCAGCTATCCTTTTGCTGTTTTTATTATGATGTCTTTGATTGTTTTAATTTCTGCCACATTGAAGGCTTTTGTTTATTCTGATCTTCAGCCTAACTCTAATGTATGGGCCAATTGCATTTCAGAAAATTATATTTTGAAATTGTCCTTGTAATGCCATAAATGTTAGGACAGATGTGGACAAGGACTATAATAACTAACAGTTATTATTTACCAAGTACCTGCTTGATGCTAGGCACAAATGAAGCACTAACTCTAATCCCCAAATGAAGCACTAACTCATATTGCCCCCATTTCACAGTTGATTACATGGAGATGCCAAGCATTTGAGAAAGCTACATAAATTTTCATGGCAAAACTTACAAGTTGGGTCTTCTCACTGTGCTAGGGTTTCTCTGCTTCCCCACTGTTTTGGTCCTGAGAACTAAACAGCAAAAACAGAATTAGGAAGCAACTGGGGCTAGATACACTGAGGTACATCGAGTTCTGTATGTGAAGTATGGCCAGGGCCGAGGGGTGGCGCCCAGCGACAGTGGCCATATTGGGCAGCGGGGCTCTAAGTGGGGCTCAGAGATGAGCTGTCTCAGCTGCCCAGGGCAGCCGGCGCAGAGCGGGCTCCTGAACTGTCCCACTAAACTTCCACAGGGCATTTGAAAGTTTTTCCTTCACATGTAGGTAAACGGGACACTGTGCAGTGCTTCTTTTGTGGTGGATGCTTAGGAAACTGGGAAGAAGGAGATGACCCTTGGAAGGAACATGCCAAGTGGTTCCCCAAGTAAGTACATAAACATTTTCTGCTCAGTGTCATTAGCAGTTTTCTTTGGACAATAACAGTAAAAGGCAACAGTTCCTATAATACCACCTTCAGTTTTGAACTTCTGCTACCCAAAATTGCAACACTCTTGAATTTATTCAAGCAAGAAAGACCTGATTGCATATTGGAAATTTTGAATGTTGTAACTTTAAAATAGTTTGAGGAATGTTGATTTTTCTTCCAAATGCTAAAATGTTTCACCAAAAAGAAGTTTCAGGACCTGCCTTAATAAGAATAATTATAATAGGGATGGTGTAAAGCTATTTAAAAGAAGTTGGAAATAAGAAGCAATGTTTAAATATTACTGCAAATGGTGACATATACTGCTGATGTATACCAAATGGAAATATTTTACCTTAAAAATTCAGTTTTGGCCCTCCCTGGTGG